CCCAAGGTACGGGCGCAGTTGGCGCACAAGTTTTAACTGTGCGAATGCTCCCCTGGTCATCGCCGAAACCTGGGGTTCCAGGCTCAGCGATGAGTCCAGGATCACACCCAAACTGCGAACCTGCGTCTTCAGGGGGAGTGCGACCCCGTCTAACACAGGCTGTAACCCTATACCCTGTTCGGCCTTGCGACTAACCAGGAGTACCTCAGTCTTGTCTGGATTCAATTTCAATTTGTTCGCCCCCATCCAGATCGTCACAGCGGCCAAGCACCAGTTCAGGACCTCGACAGCCTCCTTAGTAGCAGGTGGAAAGGAGTGACAGAGTTGAACATCATCTGCGTACAGATGACATCGCACTCCGAAACTCCGGATGATCTCGCCCAGCGGCTTCATGTAGATGTTAAACAACATGGGAGACAGTATTGAACCCTGAGGAACCCCACAAGACAAAGGTTGTGGGGTTGAACAGGAGTCTCCCAATAACACCTTCTGAGACCGACCCTCGAGGAATGAGCGGAGCCACTGCAGAACAGTACCTCCAAGACCCATCCCCGCGAGGCGTCCCAGAAGGATACCGTGGTCCTTTCTGGTGGATCCACATCTGCAACTTTTGATAAATTGGGGAGTGCAAGTGTTTTGTGATAGAAATGACAGCTGGATCCAGGCCTCCACAACACAGCACCCTCCAAAGGTTCCCATCGATGTATTATCGAAGGCTTTCATGGTCCAAATCATTGCGTTGCTGTACGTTTTTCGAGCTGTCTGACCATGCTCCAGAAGCATTCTCTCCTGACATTTCGCCTGCAATTATTTATTTATTTTATTTATTTATTCCCTATTTTCTCTTCCTCCTTAGAGCAGTGGTTCTCAAACTGCCTAATGCCGTGACCCCTTAATGCAGTCCCTCATGTTGTGGTGACCCCCAACCATAACATTGTTTTTGTTGCTACTTCATAACAATCATAACAATCCCGCCTCATAGGAAACCTGTTACAAAACAGGAGCTTTTTTGTTGAGTTCCAGGGCCAGAGAAGCAGATGGCGGAGACATAAGAACGGCCTGCCTCAGGGGAGCGTGCTTGCCCCATCCATGTTCAACATCTACACAAATGACCACCCACTGCCAGAAGGGACAGAGAGCTTCATCTCTAGGTCATCTTCCCCATTTACGAGAGCGACCAGAGCATCTATTCAAAGGATCATCCAACCGAGGGTGGCGGGAGGGGAAATGGGAGAAAAAAAAGGCGGGGTGTTGGCGGAAAGGGGGGGAGGAGGAAGGGGAGGAGGGGAGGCAGGAAAAAGAGAAAGAAAGAGGAAGAGAAAGAAGAAAGGCAGCAGAAAATTCCCCAAGAGCCATCAGGAATCCATCCGGATCCATAAGCCTCCTGGGGCGCGGAGACCAATTTTAATGGGCGGGTCTCCTCCACCTTCGACTGCGGAGGTTTTCAGGTATAGGGGGTTTGGGAGGTTAGGGGTGTGGCATGTGAGTGTTGAAGTTAGTGAGTGAAAGAGTGAAGAAGTGTGAGTCAAGTGTGAGTTGGTTGAGTCTGAGTCTACTTCCCATAAAGCTGACCAGGGTGAATGGGGGGGTTGTGGTCGGGGGTCCATCTGGCAACGGAAGAGAGAGATAGAGAGAGAAGAGAGGATGGAGAGAGAGATGAATAACTCCTCAACACCGCCACCCTTCATCCCACCCTGGCAGGAAAAAGTGAGGAGGGAAAACCAAAAAAAAAAGTCCAATGGTATGCCAGCAGAATGTTTGGGTGGGGCCAGAAGATCAGATCAGAGAAGAGCATCCCAGATCAGGAGATACTGTTGGGACAGCCCCATGGTTGCCATGGTAGACATGACATGAAGTCCTGAGCCGCTCCCGATAAGGCGGCCTCGGCATGGACATTGAAGTCCCCCAGCACAAGCAGCCGTTGGGACTCCAATGCCAGGTCCGAGACCACCCCCGCTAGCTCAGGCAGGGAGACTGTAGTGCAGCGAGGTGGACGGTACACTAACAGAATCCCTAATCTGTCCCGGTCACCCACCCTCAGGTGGACGCATTCAAAATTTGTTGACTGCGGGATGGGGGCCCTGGTCAGAAGAATGGAATCTCTATAGACCACTGCAACTCCGCCTCCCCGCCCTCCGGATCTCGGTTGGTGCTGCACAGAGAAACCTGGTGGGCAAAGCTGGGTTAAATTTACACCTCCCGCTTCGTCCAACCAGGTCTCTGTGATGCACGCCAGATCTGCCCGTTCATCCAGGATTAAATCCTGGATGAAAGTTGTTTTACCGTTGACAGATCTGGCGTTCAACAGCACCACTTTCAATTCGGAGGGACCGCCATCCTGGTTACACCGACTTACCATATCAGGAGACCGATTTGGAATTACTAATGTTGTTCCACATTCCCTAGGCCGAATTAAAGGTCTCCTTTTCCCGTATCTCCCCCTCCCCACCACGACTTCTATGGGGGCTCCCCGGTTAACGGAACCCTCTCCCTCCTCCATGACGCATTCGGCAGCCAAACTATCTACCCATAATTCATTGTTGACTGTATGGTATGTTATAATTCCAGGATGCCATAGTCCTGCCTTCCATTCATTTCCTACTCCTATTATGTTCAACTCCGGTCTTTCTAATCTACTCCGTTCCCTCTCTCTACCAAAAACAATTAGCAGCAAGATTAACAGATGCCAGGGAAAGGGTAGTGACATGGATGGTAGCTATTAACACTGTCAAAGGAGTTCTTAAAGTGCAGGAGTTAAAGTGCAGGAGTTCTTAGAATGCAGATAGAAAATTGTATATTTTCATCCATCAGGACTAGACTCTGATGGTGTTTGGCCATGTCACCCAGTTTTGATCTGTGAAATGAAAGATGTACAGACCTTTCTAATGACCCTGATGAGTTATATGAGGCTGAGTGAGGGGAAGCAGCCTAAGGCCAGCCTATGAATGTATTTAGTGAAAATTTAACTACTACATAATGGCTGAAACAGAAGTTTGCAGTAGTCTTGTGCATTTGCCTATAAGAAAGTGTATTTAAGATTAAGGTGCTTCCCTACTCATCATCCATTAATGCAATTTGAACCCGTTGAGTGGTTGCTTTCATAGTTCTACTTCTGAATGCTTCCAAATGTTGCCATTTAATTCAGGACAATAAATTATTATTGTTCAGCAGAAATATAATTTTTGTTCTAAACATGCTGACAAGTTGTCTGACGATGAACCACATGTGCTTGCTGGAACATGGATGAGAGAGAAAGGAAGAGGATTATACTCCTGGCCCATGTCAAGAATCATGTAACAGTCCTAGTTTATGAATTTAAAAGCGTGTCACAAAACAAATAACCTTTAAGATCCTAAAAACATATGTTTCTGATGTTCAGTTTGTATTTTTTTCACCAGAGTTTCCAAGACTGAAAAAGAAAAAAAAGCAGGCTAGAGTTTAAAAAGAGGAGAATGCCAGTTTCTTGTGGGATATGATTTATTACATATCATACAGATAGTATTTGTGATAGAAACATATTCACTGGGTGATCTATACCAGTGCCACTTTAATGCATTGCATTCCTTCTGTCTTAAACCTTCCAGTGTTTTATGGGGAAAACTGGCAGAGCAATATCAGAATGTTGTCAAAGCACAACAGGTAATGCAATTTGACACCACTTTAACAGCCTGGAATCCTGGGATTTGTAGTTTGGTGAGGCACATCTTTCCAGGAATAAGTCCCACTGAACTCAGTAGACTTTAGTCTTCTCTGCCATTGAATGCTTGTGCCTCAAACACATCAACCCTAGAATAAGTCCCACTGAACTCACTCAGTAGGCTCACTTTCACAAAGGTTAGGGGCACAAGACTCTCTGGAAAGTGAGAAAATTGCCTCAAATGTTATTTGTTTAAACTAAGAGAACTCATTAGGAATCTCTAGGTCCTTCAGCATGACTCTATGTTCAACTTCCAGTGGAGGTTGACTGAGCCATGCTTGAGAACCTAATGATTACAAGAGAAAGCATATTGATCTTGTCTGTGAATAATCGCTGTGACTCACCTTGATTCCCCTTTAGGGTTGAGAAGAGCGGTATACAAATACAACAAATAAATAAATAAACAAGCTTGCAAAAATTAAACCTGCAAATGTGTAGAATTGATTGTATTCCCAATTTAAACTTAAATTGTTAATCTGAAAAAATCTCCCCTCTTCTCTATCATACATAATTAATCAGGAGTACTTTCTTTCTCGCACATATCTCTATATGTACCCCACTCATTCATGCACCCAGGTTAGAGACATGCAAAATCACTAGATAATCTTCAATTCTCTCATCTCCATCTCTTTTTTCTTCCTGTAGCAAGCTAGTAAGCCTCTCAAGCTGACTTTGAAATCAATCATTTTAACTTGGCGAGTATGGTGTCATCGGTCCTTCTCTTCCAAAGATCCCAATATTGCCATCTACTGAGAAGTAATGAGTTGGACCCTATCTACACTGATGGTTTAATGCAGTTTCAAAGTGGTATTTAAGAAACTGGTTTAGCTGTGGACATGATTACATAGGAAATCCTAGAACCAGTTGGAGACCCGGATGGCGATGATGCAAACCACAGCTCACTGATGCATATTAAGGATTTTCTTTCACACACATTTGTGGGAATTTGTTGTCAGCACAAAATAAGATTTTTGGAAAACCTAACAAGCAGTCAACATGGAGTTTAGCCTGTGTAATTTGTGATTTTTCTGAAATGATGTTAGTTTTTAAAATTGATATTCTTGTAAACATAAGGTCATGCTTTGCTTTAATTGTCACCTGTATTAACCATGCTAGACTCACTGGACCTGTATTTCAAAAGAAGGAATGCAATCCCTAGCATACCAATTGAGAACAAGCTTTTTTGAAGGGGAAAAGGAGGACTTGCCTGTTTTCTGAATTCCCTGGCCTGACTCATAGTGTCGGTGCCCCTATGCTATCACTCTTGGGCATATATTGCTTTCTAGAGGCTGAATTTTGCAATATGGTGTGGTAAATAGCAACCCTAATTGCTTCCTTATTAATCTCTTCCTTAAATGATTTGTAGGAAATCAATTTGCACTTATGAAAGTGGGTTCTTATCCAAGTGAAGAGTTTGCCTGCAAATTTGCGCAAACATCCCGAACATTCAAAATCTGAGGGGATATATGGTTCTCCAATGCTCCCTCACAAAAATGTATTCTGATCATATTTACATACACTGTGTTCCCTTGTTTTGAACAAATGCAAAAATATTTGCAATAAAATGAACAATATTTTGCATGGTAAAACCAAAGCTTTGACAGTATTTAATACTGCCTATGTTGGCAGCCAAATTTTTAGAATGACCTCTTGTATGATACTTTTTAAAATATTCTTTTTGAACATGGCTTTTTACATTTCATGTCTTACAAAGCTCAGCATTTACCTGACAAGTGGGATGCTTTCGTAGTTTGACTCGGCCAACAATATAGCTGCAGAATATGTAAATTCCTCCACCTCCATTCCCAGTAAAATTCACAAAACACAATGGATTAAATGAATCAATTGAATGTATGTGGCTGAGATGGAAAAAACTCCACCCTTTCCCCATTATTCTAGTTTTTAAAATATATTTTGGGGTGCTGAATTTAAAAAAAAAACACACATAATAAAAAATATTGCACAAATGCAATATGCATTGACAATTATTATTAAATTATTATTAATAATAATAATAATAATAATAATAAGAAGAAGAAGAATGTGGTTGTTACTCAGTTTTGATTAAGTGCAGGCACTGATGTTCTTTAAAAAAAATTTTTTTAAAGGTTTTCTTTGTATACATATAGGGAAGAAAGAAAAAAGAAAAAGGTAGATGCAGTAGTGTAGGGATGGTATAGGCACGAGGGTCTGGGAAGGATGGGGGGAAAAGAAGGGGATGTAGTTTAAGGTCTGGGAAGGGAGGGAAAGGTAAGGGAGGGGGAAAATTTATTGTCTTCCAATCTTCCTCTTTGTTGTAAATTTCTTCTCTAGTCTCTTTTTCTTTCCATAGCATGCTTCTCCTTTTCTTTCTCTTTGTTGGTGTTATTTTTATTATAGTTGTCTCTTTAAGTTGTACTATTATCATCTTTTTTTCTGCATTCATATAGTCTTTGAATAATTGCCAGTCAGTTATTTTCTTATGAGTTCCTGCATTCTTCGACAATAGTTGGGTTAGTTTGTCCATGTTCATAATTTCCATAACTTTGATTAACCATTGTGCTTTTGTTGGTAGTTCTTTTGTTCTCCAATTTCTAGCATATATCATTCTTGCTGCTGTTGTTAGATAGCTAAAAACGATTTCTATATTTGTATCCATATCAATGTCCATATCTGTTAGTCCAAGTAAGAAGTACTCTGGTTTCATCTGTATCTTAAGTTTAAGAATCTTTTGGGATATTTCCTGAATCTCCCTCCAATAGTCTTTAGCTTTTTCACAAGTCCACCACATATGATAGAATGAACCTTCTTGCATTCCACATTTCCAACATTTATTCTGCATGTTTTTGTAAAAGGGTCCTAACTTTTGTGAGGTTATATACCATCTGTACATCATTTTATACCAATTCTCTTTTAAACAGGCACTGATGTTCTAATGTGATTTTTAAAGTGCCTTTGGACATATTTTTGTGTTTCCTGGCAGTGTTTTGCAAGTCTAGTACATGCCTTTTATCTCCTGTTTATTTGCTTCTCCCCAAAGAAATCTTAGTCATGTATTAGAAAATAAAAACCTCAAAGCAAGCTGTGGGGGAAAACTGTACATACTGGAACAAATCTGAGGTCATTTTTGGATTTAAAATACAAAATTCCTGTAAAAACAGCATAGTTTTTTGGTTCTTAAAAGATAAACCCTTACCCTATTGATTTGTTTCCTTGTTTGTTAATTGATGTTTTAATTATCTGGATTTAATTTATTATGTATTTGTATTTTCACTGTGTATTGTATGGGATCAAGTGGTTGCCATTTATGTTGTAAGTTGCCCTGAGTCCCCAAGGGGAGATAGGACAGGACAGGGTATAAAGTTGACTTGACTTGACTCTTCTTCTAGGTGTGACAGTGTGGAACTCGACAATGAAATCCAGATTCTGATTGGGAAAAACAGTGTGTTGGAGTCCTGTAAGAAGCTGGAGAGCTGTTCCCCTGCCTTGAATGTAAGCAATTGCTTCCTTTACACTTTGTCAATCTTGAGACTATTTAATACCAGCAGGATTTGTCTTCAATAGATATGCAAAACTTCCATTACCACTTAAATGGTGGAAACACTCTAGTACTCTTTGCAATTACTTCTTAATGTTATGGAAAGTGCTTGCATGGGACAGTATTACTTTTCAAACAGTGCAAAAGACAAGTTGGTGTTCCAGCATCAAGGCATTTGTTCATGAGGAACTGCTGTGTGCAGAGATCTGGAATTGTAATTGAAGGACTCATTGTCTCTGTTGGTCCTTTACTTTTTTCCCAGAATGGTGTCAATAAGACTGGGTTTTTTGTTTATTTTTTTCTCCTGAAAAAAACCACACAAACTATTCCTTTCGCTTTCTTCTATGTCACTTTCAGGAAATAAACTATGTTGTGAAAACCTTCCTTTTATAGTAAAAGTTACTCGTTCTGGCACGTGCCTGTGGATTTTTTTAAAAAAAAAATCTCAGAAAGGGCTGAAGTTATCAACTTTTGTCATGTTCAGTCCCCAGTGATAAAAAAGCAACAGATTTTAGGAGTGAGGAAATGTATAATTAAAGACAGAGAGGACTATTTGGTGTTTTTTTAAAAATTATTGTGTATTTTTGTAAATGTAAAAAGAAGAGCAAGTGGATAATTCAGTGGAGAAAAATCATTGGGAAAATAGTTCCATCGATTATACATATTTTTTGGCATTCTAAATATCACCACTGCAGATATAAGGAAATAAAATGTACTTAGATTAGAAACAAAGGAACAAAACTATTGTTCAAGGATATGCATAGAAATAGTCATCACTCCACATTCGCTGGAATTTGGAGTCTAGAACTCTCACAAAAAAGGAAAAATCTGAATTAAAAAATACATTTTTTACATGAGATTTCTCTAGCAATGTCAAGGTTCTTCCACATGTCCGTATGGTCACCTTCTGTCAGAAACTGACCATAGGACTGCACTTCAGGACCTAGAGAATGCAAGAGAGGTGCTCTTTCTTAGCATATATAGGTCTTCCAGTGCAACTGTATCATGAACATCCACCAGGCGTCATGCTAGAGGACCTAGAGTTCCTCAACAGAGTATTTTAATTAAATCTGCAAATAATCAGATCTGCATAAGTAGGGGCCAACTGGAGGGGGGGGGGGAGAGGGAGAGGGAGGGAGTTTGATAGAGCTGCGTATTATAACACAAATGTAGGACAAAATAATTGATAGGAATATCGAATTGTCTGTAGTTCCCTTTAGAAGTCACGAGTCTACTATTTATAACTCGTTGTAAAGATGTGACCAGAAAGTTAATTTTTGGTACTACTGTTTCCATTTGTTATAGGCATATTGATTGGAGGATTTTGAGAGTACTGTGTGAAAAAATAACTTTACTGAGCTCTGGATGTGGTGCCTTGCCTTGATCCTCCTTGTGTTTCATCTTCTTGGTCCTTGTAGTGCACGCATCTTCTCCAAAAGCCCATCTGGGAGTAGAGTGGGCCTGGATGTCTTTCTAGACTGTTTACATTTTCTAAAGCAAGGAATTCAAATGACATCCTGTAAACTGACATCTTGTTAGTCAACTATTCTTGTAAGACTGTTTTGGGGATTTATGTGTAAACAAATTCCCTCTGCTTCCTTCTCCTTTTTTATACAAAGCAGGAGATCTTCACAGAGAAAATAAAACCAGCCTTAAGAGATACCACATGACTGTGAACTGGTGTGAGAACTATGAACATCTGCTTCATGCACCAGTAATTGCATCTGTATTAATTTTTCATGTTGGACTGTTGTTCTCCTTCCTTGAAGTTATTTTAATTATCCTTATTTGAATCTCCTTGTGTAACCTCAAGGAGAGAGTCAACATCATTATCAGTCCTGATGTGGTAAAAAAGCAGAAAAATTTACATATGCGTTTAACTGCCATTTAAGCTAAAATTCTCCACACTAAAATCATTACAGAATGAACCTGGAAATGCCCTTTGTGATTATACCTTCTTCTCCATGTCTTCAGTTTATGAGAAGAAGTCCCCAGTGGCACAATAGGCTAAACCCTTGTGCCTGTGAGATTGCCGATGGAAAGGTCAGCAGTTCGAATAGTGGGAGTGGGGTGAGCTCCCCTCTGTCAGCTCCAGCTTCCCATGCGGGGACATAAGAGAAGCCTCCCACAGGATGATAAAACATCTAAGCATCCCCTAGGCAACATCTTTGCAGACAGCCAATTCTCTCACACCAAAAGCGACTTGCAGTTTGGGAGAGAAGTAAACAACTACTTGGATTTTTAAAAAAATCCCATTTACCACAGCAACCAGTTTTTTCTTATTTCTCTGTCTCTCCCTGTTTTTTTTAATTTTCTTATTCTCATGTGAATTCAGCAAAAGTCTCAGTTTTCTAGGATATAAAGAAGACCACTCTTCCTTCCAAGCTACCCATACTACTTGTTGGTTTTTAATTTTTCTGTTTTATAATACTCTAATCATGAACAAAAATAAAAAGATTCCTATAGTCCTTTACTTTTTTTAGTGGCTTGTGAATTAATCATCACCATTTCCCAGTTCTGACATACCAACAAAAAGCAAGAACAAGTTTATAAATCTGGTTGACCCACCCCATCTTTGAATGCTTCCCTGCCAGTCCTATGATCTATGGGCTAGATGCCCATCCCACAGCATTGCTGGACTTCCGACAGAGGCCCAGCTCACAACTGGAGTGGAAGCAATATATGACACTTCCCTCCTAATATGGGAGCCTGCCCGTGTTGTGTGGGTTCCAATGGAACCAGCACAGATTTTCCCCACAAGGGTGATGGGGGAACCATCGCCGAGAGGGAGTGGCATACAGAGCTATAGATTAATCCTGCTGCCCGTCTGTTTCTTTGGTGAAGCCAGGCAAAGCGAGATGCTTCATCTGGCTTATGCGATAAAGTTGTTCAGCTTCAGGAAGATACCTCACTGGTCAGTGTGAAATGTATCAGCTCCTAAGTGAATCTAATATTTCTAATTTAATAATGTAGTTCTAAAATATTGAAATTCTTAAAGAATGAAGCTGAAAATGGAAAATTGGAAAATTTTCATCATTGGAAAATTTCTACTCTGGAAATTTTGTCGATTTTAATTAGGTTACTGATATCATTATAATTATATATATATATATATATATATATATATATATATATATATATATATCTTGTTTCTCTAGCCATATAGAACACAATGACATTTTGTTTCTGTATCCTTACAGAACATAACTACATCTATACTTGGCATAAAACAGTCTCTTCCATTCCTGTTTCCTAAATCCAAATTTCTCATTCTTTCTATTGTTACTTTTTCAGAGATATAAGAACAATATCCTTCCAACTAGCAGAATTGCTTTCCCTTATCATGTACTACTTTGTAGTACTTGAAATCTCATCTTCCCAAGGGCTTCATCCTGGAAGCACAGTTCTAGCCTACGACCATTGCTGCTGTCATTCACTAGGCACAGTAAGGCAGGTCTTACTTAAAGAAGAGATATAGATTGGTGACACTACACAAGAAAGTGAAAGGATTGGGTAATCATAGAAAGAGAAAGGAAAGATGTAGTGCAAAAATGATAATGAAAGACAGCCCAGCTTGCAAAGATAAAAGAAAGAAGAACTTGGGCTCAAGTCCCAAAAGCTTCTGGAAGATCATGGGTTTTGTTTGGAACATACTGTCTGTACTTTAGAGAGGGAACATAAAAGAGATCATGGATTATAACATGATTTCAGTGAGAACTTTGATGTGTCTGGTGCAATTTCATGTGTTTGGTGATAGAGTTTTCTAACTCTTCCTGGCTTACTGATTATTCTGCAAACTTCCAGGAGAAAATTTCCTTTGCCATTATGTTACAGTATATGGAGATTGTATTGCCGAAGGTTTTCACGCCCGGAATCACTGGAGTGTGTGTGGTTTCCGAGCTGTATGGCCATGTTCTAGCAGCATTTTCTAGCAGCAGTATTCTAGCAGAGGATCCTCTGAAGATGCCAGCTACAGATGCAGGAGAAAATGCTGCTAGAACACGTCCATATAGCCCGGACACCACACAGCACCCCTATAAGAAGGTTTTCCTCTAAGTTACTTGCAGACTCTGCCAATGTTGGCATTCCACAACTTTTTCCACTTAAAGAAAGAGGCCCAAATCAATATAAGAAAAATTGTCATTGTAAACTTTCGTTGAATCCATCGCTTTATCTGTGATTCTTGATGTTACATTTTCCCTCATGCTTTGACAGAAACCATAATGCTGGAAGGAGGGATGGCAATACTGGAGTTTGCAATACATGTTATTCTCTGGAATCTGGTGCTGGGCTTGTGCTCATCTTACAAAATGATATAGGGCCTGGGTTAGAACATGGAAGCGTTACCATTTATGGTTCAGAGTTTGGAAACAGATCAAAATATGTCTCATCTGTGATCCAAATGGCGCAAGAGGAAAGTGGAAAGTCCAGGATGAGTTTTGTTCTTTATTTACTATTATAATTTCAAACACAGGGGAACTCCAGACAAGAAAGAATCAAGAACACCTAATCACCTCTCAACAAAGGATTCTCCCAGGCAGTAACAAACCACATCTAAAAACTGTCAGGCCATCAAATGCTAATCAAGGTGGCCAGCTGAAACATTCACACCTAGCTCCAACAGACGAAAGTTGTTTCTCCCACCCTGGACTTTCCACAGATATATAAACCCAGTTTTCCTAGTTTCCAGCAGACCTCACAACCTTTGAGTATGCCTACCATAGATGCAGGCAAAACATCAGGAGAGAACCCAAAAAACCTACAACAACCTAGTTCCATTTTGCTTTACGCGACTTTTAAAAAACCCAGATGGCCAGTTTTGCAGCTCTGTTTTCTGAAGTGGACTTCCCTGTCATGACTTGGCAGATTTAGTATGGGACTCTTTCATTATCTTTCATCTCTCTATCATTCTTGGCATATTTCCTTTGAGTGAAATATTTTACTTTGTCACTATTATATCAGCAAAGTGTAACTTAACAACAACCCTCTAGTTATACTATCCCATATCATCATAGTGAGTGTATCATTTCACATTCTTGCTTCATTGCTTTCTCCTGGGGGGGGGGGGGGGGAAGATAAATCTAGATTTGATGGGAATTCCTAAAATACTTATAGACTGCTAGAGAGAATGAGATAGGAGCCATTATCTATTATTGCTTATTCACTGAATTCAGTAGGGCCTCAACTCCATATTATGCTTTAGTTGAAAATGTAAATGTAGGCATGCTTAAAATTTAAATGTGGATATATGTGTAGATTTTTCATTCACGCATTCACATAAATACAAATATACATTTCACCTTCGAGGGTTAGACTGGATGGCTCATGAAGTCTCTTCCAACTCTATGATTCTATGACCGGGCATTTCAACTAGGAGCATCACAACCTCTCTGATTTGTCCCTGTATGTTATTGAGGTTCCTTCTCCTCCAGCTTTTTAAATAAAAATAAGATTTTAGAATTATTGTTTATTGTTGTGTGCCTTGATGTTGATTCCAATTAATGGTGACCCTAAGGAAAACCCATCATAGAGGTTTCTTGGCAATATTTGTCCAAAGGGATTTGCCATTGGTTTCCACTGAGATTGTGACTTGTCCAAGATCACCCAGTGGGTTTCCATGCCTCCCTAGGGACAATCCAATTATCTGGAAGACAATCCATTGTCCCTATAAGACACCCACAATACACAACCACTGTTAAACTAACCAACAATAGATCTGGACCAAACTTGGCACACATAACCAACACAGCCAACTTTGAATACTGGTGGGATTTAGGGGAGGTTAGATCCATGCTTTTGAGAATGGTGAAGACTGTGAACCCAATTGATGATAGATCTAGACCAAACATGGTTCACATACCCAACATGACTTTGAATATGGACAAGGTTTGCGGGGAATTGACCTACGATATTGGGATTTTAGTTCACTAACTTCCTTATGCATTTTCTGATGTGATCACTCATAAAAAACAAAACAAAAAAAGACTTCCCCCCTAAGAAATAGCGTTACAAATTATCTAACCTGGGAATTCATTGGGTATCTAATAGGCCTGGGCGGTTTCGTTCGTTAATTTTGTAATTCGTTAAATATTCGTTATTTTTAGCAATTACGAAACGATTACAAAACACATTTTCAAACCCGGAAGGGTTTTAAAATAACGAACCGGCACCCCCCATACTTTTAACGAGCTTCCGCCCGTTTCGTAAATGGGATGGAGGCTGCTGGTGCCCTGGGAGCCAATCCGGCGCTCCCAAGCACCCAAGCAGTGCACCGTGGCTGTTTCTGATTGGCCGTACAGCTCATTGTTGCAGAGGCGAGGGAGAAGAGAAGAGGTCCAGGAGGGTGGCTTCTGCATTGGGTTGGCTTGCAACTGGCTAAGCTTGGATTGGATTCATTCCTTGCTTATTCATTCCTTGCTTGGATTCATTCCTTGCTGCTTATTAATTCCTTGCTTGGATTCATTCCTTCCTTCGGTTTTTGTCAATTTGTTTGTTAATTTTCCATTTTTAATATTTAAAAATACCTGTTTTTATTCTTTAAAAAAATACAAAAACTATTCTAAAAAAGAAAAGACTCTTCTGTTGGTGTGTGCTCTCATTTGCCCTGTCTCGTGGCTGTGTTTGGTCCACATCAGGGCCAGTTTTGGTTAAGTTTCCATTTTTGAATATTTTTAAAAATACCTGTCTTTTATTATTAAAAAAAAAAAAATATTCTAAAAAAAGAAAAGACTCTTCTGTTGCTGTGTGCTCTCATTTGCCCTGTCTCGTGGCTGTGTTTGGTCCACATCAGGGCCAGTTTTTGGTTAATTTTCCATTTCTGAATATTTTTTAAAAATACCTGTCTTTTATTCTAAAAAAAAACAAAAAATATTCTAAAAAAAGAAAAGACTCTTCTGTTGGTGTGTGCTCTCATTTGCCCTGTCTCGTGGCTGTGTTTGGTCCACATCAGGGCCAGTTTTTGGTTAATTTTCCATTTTGAATATTTTCTAAAAATACCTGTCTTTTATTCTTAAAAAAATACAAAAAATATTCTAAAAAAGAAAAGACTCTTCTGTTGTTGTGTGCTCTCATTTGCCCTGTCTCGTGGCTGTGTTTGGTCCACATCAGGGCCAGTTTTTGGTTAATTTTCCATTTTTGAATATTTTTTAAAAATACCTGTCTTTTATTCTTAAAAAAAATACAAAAAATATTCTAAAAAAATAAAAGTGTCTTCGGTGGCTGTGTGTGCGTTTGTCATTTGTGTAGTTCCAACCAGTGCGCTCCTTTTGCCAACAGAAAGTGCTATAATACAGTGCTTGCTCATTTGTGTAGTTCCAACCAGTGCGCTCCTTTTGCCAACACAAAGTGCTATAATACAGTGCTTGCTCATCATTTGTGTAGTTCCAACCAGTGCGCTCCTTTTGCCAACACAAAGTGCTACATACACTGCTCGCTCATTTGTGTAGTTCCAACCAGTGCGCTCCTTTTGCCAACACAAAGTGCTATATACAGTGCTCGCTCATTTGTGTAGTTCCAACCAGTGCGCTCCTTTTGCCAACACAAAGTGCTATACTACAGTGCTCGCTCATCGATTCGTTATTTAATAGCGAATCGATTCGTATTTAATAACGAAGTTTCGGAAGTCGCTTTTGCGCATGCGCAATCGCGTCCGCCGTTTTAACGAATCGATTCGTTATAACCTTAACGAATCGACCCCGCGCCAATAACGAAGCTTCGGAAGTGATTTTGCGCATGCGCGGGGGTCCGCCATCTTAACGAATCGTTTCGTAAATATTTACGAAATTTCGTAAATACCGAACTTTTTTAAGGGAAAATTTTGTAATTATTTTAAATATCGAAACAAAAAAACACCCCAATTACAAATCGATTTTAGAAACAAATTTTTGCGTTGTTACCCAGGCCTAGTATCTAAGCTAGTGTGTGTGTGGTGCAATAAACACAATGTATTGCTGAGTTCTATTAGAAGTGGAAAAATAAACAATGAGACTGAACCAGGGATAAGAGGCTAGTTGACTTCTAAATTACAACCTACTCGCACACCCTGTTTCCTGTGTTGGCCCTTGGCTATGATTAATATTTCTGTCACAACTTTGTGAGTGGTTGGAACAATCCCTGGATCTGGATTTCCAGATTCTGTCTTCTCTTAGCAAGTTGCATGGCAACAGGTGGTTTCCTATGGAGGACTCAGGGGTGGGCTGACGTGGTCTGGATCAGTGGCTGGCTGGTTGCCTCCACAGTGTTACCTTGGTGACAGTGGTTACAGGACTCAGCTGCTTCTTCTGATGTCATCCCAAGGTATCTGCCCAAAGGTCCAGAGTATTGGTCCCATCAGACTGGTCAATGCCAAGATGCAGGATCCATTGCAGTTGCCAACCCTACTATCAACTGTAACCAATAAAAGTTGGGCCCTTTGATATTCCAATGTTCACATGTCTTGTGTGGTTATTTCATCAGAGCTTCTCACACTGGATACGCAAGTAGCTGTGTTAGTCTCTTGCAGCATTAGAAGGAAAAAGGAAGAAGGAGGGAAAGAAAGAAAGAAAGAAAGAAAGAAAGAAAGAAACTGCATTTTTAAGGCTAGCTAGTTTTCATTTTGATGAGTTTTTGTGGACATGTACTGTCTCCACAATTGTAAGAAAATAAAAACCTGTTCATCTTAACATGCTGACTGTGAACCCAACTGACACATTTTCCCCTCCCCCTTCTTCCTTTTTATACTCTGGACAGTCATTTATAAACAGTTAATTATTGTCAGTGTGTGTTTTCATTGAGAAAACATCATATAGTCATGTACACAAGCTCACATTTCAGTTCCTTTTCTTGTGAACCCATTTGCTGTGTTAGGAACCTTTCAGCCAAAAATGGTAAGATGCATAATCTAACTAGTTATGTCCCAACTGTCACAAACTGGGACAAAATTTTCCAAGTTGTAAATGGTACACCCTGTTCCCCAGGCTAGACATTCTCTTCCCCTTTGTTTTTACAAGCATTCTCATTCTATATGAAGCATGACTCACTTGTTTCACAGTCATGTAAAATGTACAGTATGTGTAAACACTCCTGTCAGAAAAGTTCAGCATTCATGCCAGGAAAAAGCGGCAGGGGATGGAATCCAAAAGGAAATTGTGAACAGTGGCCGGATTGGTGGGGAAAAGTTTACCCTTCCTTTTCTTGTCTGTACTGTTTCCCCTCCCAGGGGAAACTGGTTGGTAACAGGGAAATAGCAGTTTACATATCACATCTAGTAGGCTGTTATATTTTTCATGTTACTCACACAGCCATATCATTGGCACATTCTGGGAAGCCCCTTGGATGAATGATTCAAATACAGGTCCCACCAACTCCTAGAGCCTACATACAGAAAGAGTTGGATACATTAGCAGTAAAGTTTCAGGTGTCCTGCTCTTACTGGGGTGCTTCTTCTTTTAGACAAATTCTCCCTTGTGTGATTTATTTCCTGTTGTATGATTTAAAGGCCTTCAGCAAATACAACACTGTAGTCACTTCTGAACAGATGGATTCAGATAAGGAGGACAAGAAAACATCAGACTCTCTCTTCGAGGTAAGTGAACAACCATCGTTGTGATAACTGAACCTTTTTATTCCACAATAGAATGACAAGTTACAAGTGCTAATGTATCAGTATGTTATAATAACATTTAAAAATGTATACCATAGAAGGGAAATTACAAAAGACATATTTCTATTAATGTAATTGGGATAGGTAAAGCTTTCCCCTTGATATTAAGTATAACAGTGTCCGACTCTGGGGGGTGGTGCTCATTTCCATTTCTAAGCTGAAGAGCTGACGTTGTCCATAGATGCTTCCAAGATTATGTGGCCAGCATGACTCCATGAAGCACTGTGACCTTCCCACCCAAGCGGTACCTATTGATCTACTCACATTTGCATGTTTTCGAACTACTAGTTTGGCAGAAGCTGGGGCTTACAGTGGGAGCTCACTCTGCTCTCTGGATTCGAACCACCGACCTTTCTGTCAGCAGGTTCAACAGCTCAGTGGTTTAATCTGCTGCACTACCAGGGGCTACGTAAATGGGATGTGCTACCCTAAACACACATTAATAGCCAAAGTTTGATTTTGTTAATCATGAATTAAATTTGTGGTTTCTTAATAAGATGTGATCACAGTTGCAGCTTCTGGTTCATATTCAGTGAAGACAAATCAAATTGGCTTAAATATGAACATTGTGGAGTCTGTCTAGTATTTGGTTTTGATGAAGCAGCCTTGCCACTGACTTTACCAACTTTTTTTAAAAAGGAGGTAAAACTGTTATAAAAATCAATTAAGTGCAAAAACAAAACAAAAGTAAGCATACATAAAAATGTCATGCTATTTTTGCTTTTGGCTCCTTTTCTCATGAGTCAGTATGACTAACCTATATCCCCATACCCCATTTGCAATTATATATTTGACAGAACAATTATTCTGTTTCCTGTATGTGTACAATACTTTGAAGTGACAATGTTTAAGTTCAAATACCTAGAGCACATCTTTCCTTTGTGTGGGAATAATTGTGGTGTATATATTTCTATAAGCCCTGAACTTCCAGAATTTGTTGTTGTGTGACTCCAAGTGGCTTCTGAGTTAGCGGGACCCAAAGGCAACCCTATCATGGGGTCTTCTGAGGCTAAGAGTGTGAGCTTTCATTCTGGCTCCAACTTTTTAGAAAAGGTTCTACCATATATAGGAATCAGGGAAGAAAGCCCAGCAGAATATATTACTATTTCTGCAGAATATTATATAATTCATTTATTTTAATTGATTACCCTGTAGTTTTCTTTCATTGTAACATGAAATTATAATCTACTATTGTGTGAATAAAATAGAGAAAGTCCTCTTTGGGAACAGAAGAAGAAATTTGCAGACTCATCATATCTCTTTCTTGTAATGCCACATGAACTTTTAGCATTTTGTCTTTTAGCAGTTTTACATTGCAGATGTGTATTTGAGATATCTACATCTGAACATCCACCATAATTTTGCTACATGTCCCTGGTGTTGAGAGGCAATGTTGAATAACCAAATGCACAACTAAGGGATATGAGTGCCAATTTGAACAGAACAGACAAATTTACTCCATCTGAGGCTGGATCTACACTGCCCTGTATCCCAGGATCTGATCCTAAATTATTCACCTTGAACTGGATTATATGAATCTACACTGCCAGATAATCTGGGATCAGATCTTGGGATATAGGGCAGTGTAAATCCAACCTGAGAGCCTGTGCAGTAATTGCCATATATGGGATTTAATTTTTGTGACCTTGAACTGAATGCAGATGTAGAACAAAAATGAACAAAAATGCTTCAGAAGGAGGACTTAACACATGTGTACGACACTAACAGAAATAACTTCCAGATAGCAACTTTCTTCCCATTTCATTTTATGCTGGAGGAAAGTAGCAATATTGGACTATGTCACTATCACCAGAACGGATCATATTGGTTCTCTTTCTGCCCTTTGGTCTAATTGAAATCCAGTAGAGATGGTCATCATCTTTTCACAATGTTGGCTATGGTACAGTTGTATAGTTTCTGATATGTAAAGTTACATGGAATACAGCAACTGGAGTTAATCTACCTAATGGTATAGTCCTATAGATATCTTGTCCCGTTATTCCCAGTTACTCAGTGGTGACCTTAGTAAGCCAAGAGCTATGTGAACTTTCTTAGTTCTACTTGGGAATTAGAGATGAAAGTTACGTCCTTCTCAGAAGTCAGTCCCACTGAATACAATCAAAGTTATTTCCGGTTAAGTTCTTATAGTAATGCAGCCAAAGAAATATTGCCCAATTGCTACCATGATTTGGAATTGTAGTTTACAATTGAGTCATATATAGTTCATGTACAGTTAAGCCACAGTTTCTGTATTTGACTCATTTTCATTGATGTAATTCCTGCTAGCTGGGAATTGCCAAGCAGTAAGTTACTCTGTAGTTTTATCCTAAAGGAAGGATTGTAATTGTATAAGTTGTAAGCCGCTCCGAGTATTGTAAGCCGCTCCAAGTCCATGGGGAGATTGGGTGGGATTCAAAAAAGTTTTATTATTATTATTTATTGTGTAAACCTTTAATTGAAATTAATGGACCCTTGCTGAATAGTTATTATGAGTCATTTAATTATTATTATTATTAACAACAACAACAACAACAACAACAACAACTTTATTTTTATACCTCACCTCCATCTCCCCAAGGGGACTCGGGGCAGCTTGCATGGGGACAAGCTCGATCAACATAGTTAAAATAAAACACATTAAAATACATAATCAACAACATAAGCAAAATAAAACAACATTATAACAATAATATAAAAGCAGACATCAACCAGCAACCAATAGATCTGCAATAATGATCAGTTTCTGGGCACGGGTGGGCAGCTGGTTCAATTCAGTTCTAAGGATAGGGTTGATGGCTAAAGTGTGCAAGTCAATTGGCAATAGCAAAGATAGGGGGCAATGTAAGAACATTATAACTTTAAGTACTGGACAATAGTAAAGTGCGGGATCCTAGCTGGCGCCAAATTATCAGAGGAATCGTGTAGTCAAAAGCACAGCTGAATGAATACTTTGGAAACAGCACTGCCCAGAACAAAATGCTGCAATTACAAGTGAGAGCTTGATAATGGCTTAAAAGAGCTTTCTGAAAATTAATAACAATATAAAATTACAAAAAAATTGAACATAGTCCCTTTTCTAAGCATTTTAAATCAAAGCGCTATCTATACTAGAACATTTTATGCTTTACTTTCAGGCAGCTTTTGCATTAATTCATTAACAGAGGGCACTGTTGATTTTGACCTTATATGTTTCATAATGGATATATGTTTGATGGAATTAATTTTTATATTGCAGCATATATTAATAAAGAAGATACCAAGGGATGTACTGGAACAACAGATTGTTTCCCTGGAAAAGCAGAAAGTGGAGGTAATTTCAAGTCCCTCCTTTTCAGACTTTCCAGCTTTCCTTTCATAGGTTAATATGTGCCCTCTCTGTATTTTCTCCAAATCACTCAAAAGATGTTATTCAGCATTTAGTGCAGTGGTTCCCAACCTTTTTTTGACCAGGGACCATTTGACCAGGGACCACTCTCCAACATTAGTACCAAAAGGGTTACAAATCAGTTTTTGATCAACTTTAGATTCGGTTTCGTTATTTGGAGTGCTGACATCAGCTGTAGTTTCTGATACAGAACATATGCCATCCAGTAGTTGCCATCTGCTCGCCCACAGAAAACCATATTTAATAATCAAGAGCTGATGTGGTAGTCGTAATCTTTCGTGAGTAGTCAGCCTTTCCCCTCCCAACATTCCCATTGCCTCGGCACTATAAGAGGGTTTTGTGAGACCAGTAGCTCTCATTGCCGCATGATTTCGAGGCAATGGTGTAGTAATGTTGAGGTTGCAGAGCATATTTTCATTCTTGTGGACCACTGGTGGTCCACGGACCACAGGCTGGGAGCCACTGATTCAGAGGCTACCATGTCTGTGAATAAGGGGAAGACATTTGTAGTTCTAGGTTAATATTAATTTGAATAATTTCTGTCCTGTGGCCATTCAGACATTAAAAATTAAGATCATGATAATGATTAAAGTGATAATGGCACACCTAAGATTTCTGATTAACCATTTCAGCTTTTGGCAGTTAACCACCAATGGGACCAAGAGTTCAGATGGATGAAGCAGCGGTACGAGAAAAAGGTACATGCAGTCCGCCGGCCTTGTCCCCAGATTCTGTACCCAAATATTCCGCCACCCACCATGAGTTTGTCATTCTATGTAATGTTCACCATTTTACTGTGCCATTCTACCAATGGGATTTGAGCATTCATGGATTTGGTACCCACGGGAGGACATAAGATGAAGATGAGAAGCCATGTATCTTACTTAAGTAAGCCTGAGAAGTTTTGTGACTTCAGGTGAGTGATTTGAATCAAGAGATTTTCTCCTTACGCAATTAGTTATTGGACAGTCTCTGCACTGATATGTTCATTATCCACTGGGTACTTCACCACATACTCCGGAATATTATATTGATCTGACAAACCTAGTAATGTATCTCAGTTTTATTATTTCTTCCCATTTGGACCATTGTGTTACCCATCTCCTGTATTCATATGGGATTTTTGGATGTATATCTTACTCAAGTTTGTTTTTTTGTCATGTTTTAGGTAACAGATCTAAAACAAAAAACAGAAGCAATGCAGAAAATTATCAGGGAACTTGAAAAAGAGAAGAACCAACTGCAGGAAGAATGCCAAAGGCTGAAAAATCTGACCACAAATAACCTAGTCCATGAAATGGTAGGGGAACTGCATTGTTTTTTTTTCTGTTTTGGGTGATGTGTCTTTGCAATTGTAGGCTTGGCTTTAGAATTCATTTGTGAGGTGTGTGTGATGAAAGTACACACTTTAGTCTCTTCTGGAATAACTTCTTAGCTGAGAAATGATGGAACACTGTAAATAGCAAGCTCTGACTTAAACCTACAACAACTTTCCTCCACTTTCAGAATGGAGCAGTGTCTAGAATCTTGAATCATTTCAAAATGTAGTCTGCCTTGAATTTGAACTATAATGCAATTTAAAAAATAATCTATATAAATAAAAATGTAAAATGTTCATTTGTGGGATTAACATAACTCAAAAAACACTGGACTAATTGACACAAAATTTGGACATAATACACCTAACGGTCCAACGAGTGTCCATCACCCATAAATGCACACACACATGCACATGCACGTGCACACACTCACACAAAACCCCAGAGGAACAGACTTAAAAACCCAAAAAATACATCATATATACATATACACATACACTCATATACATATGCACATGCACACATTCATACACACATGTATATATATGCACAAACACACACACATACATACACACACACATATATACACATGCACACACATATACATATCCACATACATACATATATACACACAAGTATACATATAGACAAGCACACACATATACACAATATGCATGTACACATACAAATACAAACTATACACACACACACACATATATATATATACACATATATATACACCCACATATATACATATGCAAACTCACATATATACACAAATATATACACACATATATACACACATATATACACACATATATATACACACAAAACACATACACACAGACTGGGCCACAGCAACACGTGGCAGGGGCCGGCTAGTATATAATAAAAGGATTTCCCGCAAGATGCCATTGCTTTGGCTGGGGATTGCGGGACCACTCCAGCCAACTAGCCATTAATTCTTCTGACTTTTTGAAAAAAGGTGTGGATTATATTTATTTCACTATTGTCTTCCAACAATAGTGAAATAGTCTTCAGGGTGGTATTTATGTATGTGGCATGGTGAGAGCTACATTTCCTCAACTGCTTCATGTGGTTTTGTGGCTTGTATGTGCCATCAGAGAGCCCACAAGGTAGTAAACAGAATTTCATCAGCATTTGTGCCATCTGGGAAGAGTCATCCATATGTTTTGGTGATGTTTTCTTTCTACGGAATTTAGTAAATATTGTGATGATGATGATAATAATAATACCGCATTGTCAGAATGAAAAAAATGCGATCATTGATACTTTGTCAAGATAGCTATATTTTTACATTCCAGCAACAGCATAAATCCCTAAAGGGAGAAAGTAAGCTTCTGAGAGAAGAAACTGTCTTAGTAAATACAAAGAAGATGCATTATGAACATGAAATAAGTCGGCTCAACAAGGTATTGATTATATTTATTTCAGCATATGCTTGCTTTATATGTTATATTAAAACCTGAAATGTTAAAAGTCATTGAAAAACATGGCAAGTGGAGAGAATGGTTTTGAAATTTCCTGCATATGAGTACAAAATAAGTGGAGATTTACATCCTGAATTTACATTCTGACCCTGAGGTTCAGCTTAGATGGTCAGAAGATGGATGGCCAACTGTCAGGGGTGCTTTTAATGCAATATTCCTGCTTCTTGGCAGGGGGTTGGACTGGATGGCCCATGAGGTGTCTTCCAACTGTATGATTCTATGATTCTAAGATAATTATTGCTATGGAGACTCATTTTTGCATGTTTGATCAAACACATTTGATCATGTTTTCTGTGTTCACAACTGCTTCATGTGTTTTATTTAATTTTATTTGTTTGATTATATTTGTGTTTCTACCAACTTGAGACACAGCTATGAGATTATGGCATAGATGACAATATGGTTTAAAATACAATGGTGATAATGATGGTTGTTTTAAAATCTTTGAAACAATTACATGAACTATACTACTAAAAGCTTAACAGTGTGACTAAACATAAAGGACACCCTCCCCACTTTTTAAAAATCACTTGTTAATTGCCAAAGCAAAATGCATTGATGTTATTAAAAATGTACTTGGTATAACAGGTGTGAGGATAGAACTAAATGGCTTCATAGCATGTGCATGACTCAAATCCATATTTCCAGTCCATTATAGTTTCAATATATGAAATGCTTCTGATTATAAAAATAGTGTCATTTATGGAGTCATTCATTCACTCCATTTATATCAAAAGGGACTGTTTTCATAGAGTCATCAATTTAGAAGAGACCACAAGGGGCATCCAGTCCACTGCTACATTTTTCTTCCTCTGGATTTGCTAGGTCATGATACAAATCTCCATATTCCAAGCAATTGGGATGTCATGTTGTGTAGTCACCGAGATAGTCAAATCATTTCCAATTTGTAGCTTGGGCATGGAGAGAGCAAAATATATATCCAAACCATTTCTTGTGCTGAAACTCGGCAATATATTTAAATAGGCCATATATTTAAAACAGATGGATTATTTATCTATAGTCGGGTTCTTGGTGTAGAGTTGAGAAGGCTGAAATGACGAACCCCTTCGTTCATTGAAACTCTCGGCCAGACTTCGGACACAATGGCTCCTAGATGAATATGACAGATATCTAATATTTCCTAAATGTTGCAGAAGGAGATAAATAAGCATACAAGAGATAGGAACATATCTGAATTAAGGGTGGGTGCAAAAACCAATGAGTATGTGTGAGTATGTGTGTGTTTAAATCATGTCTCTTGGCAAACCACAAACACTTCCTGAGGAAATACATTTCTTTGAGAAATTGCGCTATTCAGTTAGAGCAAAAACTTCAAGCATGAAAAGTACAAGTCACTGCTAGTAAAATAGCATGCTTGCTCTTGTATTTAATTAACTACAAATGGGAAAGCAAAATTAAAAATTTAATTGGTAGAATAAGAGTATGAGACATCCAGAAAATATTAATATTCTCTGGTTTGTTATTAACTACATAAGGGAAAACAAATTAAACTTTGAGCTGTAGAAGAGGATTGAGACACACACCCAAAAATTAATATTTTGTGACATGACTCATAAATTATGAAAATCTGTTGACAATATTTTCAGTGAACATTAATGAAAAACTATAGACATGTCACTACCTTGTTTTCTTAATTCGCTAAGGAAACCTTTATTAAGGCTAATGAAAAGAGATTGAGAAAAAAGACAGCCTGATAACAAAAAAAAAATGTGCAAGATGACTAGTCTGAATTTCAGCAACAACAGAATAAAAATCTGAGGATGCCTGCCATAGACTCAGGCAAAACATCAGGAGAGAATGCTTCTGGAATATGGGCATACAGCCCGAAAAACTTACAACAACCCAAAGGCTGAACAGTTTTTACATTCTTATTCAGAACATTTAACCAGGAATAAGGAGCCCCCGGTGGTGCAGTGGGTTAAAGCCCTGTGCCGGTAGGACTGAAGACCGACAGGTCGCAGGTTCGAATCCGGGGAGAGGTGGATGAGCTCCCTCTATTAGCTCTAGCTCCTCATGCGGGGACATGAGAGAAGCCTCCCACAAGGATGATAAAACATCCTTGCAGACGGCCAATTCTCTCACAACAGGATGCTCCTGACACGACAAAACAAAAAAACAAAAAAAAGGAATAAAATCTGGTCAGTATGCCAGAACCTAAATAAACAATGTTTTCAATCATATTCTTAATTGCAGTCAGAGTAGATCTGATCAATCAGTGGGATTTAGCTAGGTGTTGACAAACCATTCTGCAATTACTTCAATGGGTTTGTTATAGTTGGGACTAGCACATTGGATAGACCATCCTTACAAGAAAAAGGACATAGGATTGTACTTTAAGACAGATGTACACGTCCATTGAAAATGGCAAGGAGGCCAACATACGGGAAGGAAGGAGCAGGGCAAATTTATTATTGTGGGGAAAAATGACATAAGGTCATTTTTGGATAAGACAGCCTTGTGTCTAGCACGCAAATGTATTGTCATTTCCCAGGTGTAAGCCACATGGCAAGAAGAGAAGCCAAACTACATCTCATCCATATTTCCAGCAAATGTCTTTGTTTAGGAAAACATATTGAAGTCAGATTATGAGTTGGAATTGGTTTAGAACATTTAAATTGAACTGTATTTTTATTTTGTTAGACTTTTTTATTCTTATTTCTCATTTGTAATTCATTATCATAGTAATTGTCATATTTGCACCCAAGCAGCAGTTCTGAGGTGCTGGAAATGGACAGGAAATATATTACTTAGTTTATTGTTATTCTATACTGTGCTGCCAAGGAGAGTAAGAAACCCTTTCTGTTTTGTTTTGTATCTGTATCATGTGGGACAGTTGTTCTCAAAGTGTGCTCCAGGGAGCCCTTGGGGCTCTGTAAAGCATACCCTCCCTTGTCAGCAAAAGCCTTTTTTTCCTCACCTTCCTCACCTTCCTCACCGTCCAGATCTTTTTCCCAGCAGTTTTCTAAGTGTGTTCTACAAAGTATAATGATGGGCTCTGTGCTTTCCATCTCTTCCTTCCAAGCTTTCCCTCCTCTTTCCTGATCCTACCCCTCTCCCTCGCCCCCAAAATCATATTTTCCTCACCTCCTTCACTCCCCAAAACCTTTTCCCCTTGGCTCCCTCATCCCAAAAAACCCCCTTTCCCTCACCTACTAATCTCCATAAGCCTTTTACCCCAACTCCCTTGCTGCCCCAGGCCATTGAATAAAGTAGGTCATACTTTAAGGAAGAAGCCATGCATAGAATGGCACTGAAGGTCAATTATGTTTCCCTTTCTTTGTCATTCCTAGTACTGGTAATGCATTCTGATATTTAGTTTTGAGTGTGCAGCCAAATGCAATTGCATAGCTACCATACTACTCTGGACGCACCACATCTTGTTCCATTTCCAAAGCTAATCCCCTTCTCATTCTGATTCAATAATTATATTATTCCATTGTACTCAAAATAGTATTCATAATTGTAATTTCATTGTGGCTAGTTACCCTTAAAGATTTACACACATTTTGTGGGTCCCGCTTTTAAAGGTAAAGTACTCAAAATTCTACTGATAATTGTGAGAAATTAGCTAAGACCACTTCTTAAAAATCCTTTTGGTGTAGCAAAATCCATACATTGGATCCTATTTTTCTTGGTACAGGCTCTTCAGAATGCCTTGAAAAATCAGAGTACATCCTCACATGCACCACTCCATCTGGATGCATCGGATACAAGTTGCAATGAAGAGATGCGGTTGCAAATGGAAGTTCTCAGGCAGCAGGTAAAGCTGGATTCATTGTGAACCTGTGCAATAACATAGGCATTCGTTTAATCCTGAAAATATTAGCTGAGCTAAATACACACATCCATACTTTTTTTAAAAAACAGGAATATCTTATTTCGGATTCATTCATTTATTTGTAGGCTATCATGATTGTAGATAGACAGATTGTAAATAAAGTCTGTCATTGTTAGCAAAGTTGTACAAAGTTGTACTTGCAAGTATAGCTTGAGTTTCTACTAGAAATATGTAACAATAACCAGTTTTTGTTGAAGGCTTTCATGGCCAGAATCACTGGGTTGCTGTGAGTTTTTCAGACTGTATGGCCATGTTCCGGAAGCATTCTCTCCTGACATTTCACCCACATCTATGGCAGGCATCCTCAGTGATTGTGAAGTCTGTTGGAAACTAGGCCAGTGGGGTTTATATATCTGTGGAAAGTTCAGGGTGGGAGAAAGCAGGAAGTAGCCCGGTTTTGAAGCTGCTTAAGGCCATTAAATGCAAATCAAGGTGGCCAATTGCAACATTCACACTTGCCTCAAACAGGCAAGAGTTCTTTCTCCCCACTGGACGTTCCACAGATATATAGTAGGGTGTAGTAGGGTGCTTCCTAACTTCGTTGCTCAAACCCAGGGTCCTTTGAAAGGAAGAAGGAAAAGGGTCCCAGGAAGAGTGCTTCCTTAACCCCATTGCTCAATCCCAGGCTCACTTGAAGTGAAGAAAGGAAAGGATCCCAGGAATGTAATGGGGAGCCTTGTAAGTTCCCCATTACCACCAATTGACCAGATCTTCCTGGCTCTTTCAACTGCCTAGCTGAAAATGGATCTGGATACCCAGAAAATTCAGATACCAAAAATGGATCGCCCTGCAGCTGAATTACACAACCCTAGTGTATTTTTTTCATGTCAGAAGCAACTTGAGAAATTGCAAGTTGCTTCTGGTGTGAGATAATTGGCCGTCTACAGGAATGTTGCCCAAGGGACGCCTGCATGTTTTGATATTTTTACCATCCTTGTGGGAAGCTTCTCTCATGTCTCTGCATGGGGAGCCAGAGCTGGCAGAGGGAGCTCATCCGTGCTCTACCCGAATTCAAACCTCCAAACCTGTGGGTCTTCAGTCCTGTCAACACAAAAGTTTAACCCATTGCACCACTGAGGGCTCGTAGCCTAGTGTATAACTCTAAAAGATTTGAGTAATATTCGTGCTCATGAAGAAAACATCTCTGTAAAGCTGTTTTTTAAAATATAAATACATCATTAAACAAATAGCTATGTCAATTTTATGGCTTAACTCTTTGGAAAGTCTGGTTACTTCTAAAATGTAAATATCAGTGATTTATATTGTAGGTTCAAATATATGAAGAAGACTTTAAAAAGGAAAGATCTGATAGAGAAAGACTTAATTCAGAGAAAGAAGCATTACAGAGAATTAATGAGAGATCACAGTCCCAGCTGAACAAATTACATTCTCAGGTTTGTGCCAAAACATGTGCATTTCATTCTTACTCTTCTTTTCTCACTTTTGGTGCAACCTTGGCTTCCATTAATTGACACTGACTTTTATATCAGATTGTCCCCTGGAATGAAACCATTCTCCCTGCCCCCATGAAGCAAATGAAGTGACTTTTGACTAATGGTATTCAAACGTTTTGTAAAGAGAAGAAAAACAGCTTTTGCTTCTGTTCTGCTTCTCCTTCTCTCTCCCTGTCTTCTGAATTCCACAGTGTTCAAATGAAAGGGTAAAACAACTTTTAGTTATAAAGTACATTTTTGCATATCTGCAATGATTTTAACAACTAAAGCAGGATATATGTACAATACCAAATAATGCAGCTTGAATTGTAAAGTTGGTAGAGTGTAGACCCATATAATGCAGTTTCAACTGCATTATTTGACAGTGTACATCCAGCCTGAGACAACACTCTAAAGAGTTCATCACACCAGAGAATTAATCCATTTTAAATCCGATTTCTGCTTCCAGCGGAATTCTGGAGTTTGTAGTTTAGTTAGGATGGCAAAGCCTCCTCCCTAAACTACAAATCCCAGAATTCTGCAGGAGGCAGAAACTGGATTTAAAGTGGATTCATTGGGGCCCTTAAAGTTTTTAATAAATGAAAATGTGGATGTGGTTCCTGTGACAGTTGGACAGTTTTTGTGGGTTTAACTCTGAACTTGAAACAACCTTATCAAAGGGCCAAAATCTATTTTGGGGGATGTGTTGCCATCCTTGGATACCTCTTTTAAAGTTCATACCAGAACCTAGAGCAGGCATGGGCAAACTTGGTGTCTCCAGGGGTCTCCAGGTGTTTTGAACTTTAGCTCCCAGAATTCCTAACACTCCAAACCTCAAATTTGTCCATGCCTGAACTAGAGCCAATTCACCAATATCATGTCATCAAAGATACTAGATACCACTGACTTGGAGTAAGGCCCAGTGCAAACACTGGAAGCTACTTTTAGTAAACAGGATTGCATTATTTATTAGTTAATCATATGCAGAACAGATTTGTTATTGTTACTATGTGCCTTCACTCCAAGATACCTTTGCCTTGGAGTCACCATAAGGCAAACCTATCACTGTGTTTTCTTAGTAAGACTTGTTCAGAGAGGGTTTCCCATTGCCTTCTGCTAAGGCTGAGGCAATGGTGGCTTTCCATGACCAAATTATGATTCAAACAATGCCACTCCCAAATACTTGGTGTTGGACAGCTTACAACAGTATATTGCCTTTCAATGGGGGCGGCACACAGCAATATACTATTGTGAAGGAGATCCATTTACCTTGAAGATCTTATGAAAATTGCTGCTAGTTTTGAGGGGGAGAAAACCAAGAAAATTGGATGACAGGTGCTATTATCATCCCATGTAATCACAAAATCCTTGTGACTTAATGCAGTGATTCCTGGGGATAACCAATGTGTGGGAAGTTATGTCCAATGTATTGTCATTTAATGTGGTGCTTAGAATAATTTTGGGGGATAACAAGGGCATTATGGCATTTCTTTTTCAAAAAAAGTTACTTCTAAAGTCTGTTTTTACTGTAGAAAGCAAGAGACATTTTGTTAGCATGCCCCAAAGCTTTTCCCTCTCCCGTGTTGAATTAAATCACCCATCCCTATTGCCACAAGAGGGCATGTATGTTCCTTCTTTCAGCCATCATTAAGTTACTATTCTCAGTGCTTTGCAATCAGGTTTTGCAAGTCGAGTTTCAGTGTGCTATGTTATCTTCCTCTTACAGTACACTACTCAACACTTATTTCTCTGTGTAATATGGACATACATTTTTTTGAGATGCATAACACTTAGGCAATTCATCACTTCAATAACCAAGGACACCATAGAATTCATTATTGTGTTAGTCTGGATCAGTGTGCAAAGGGATCTTGTAGCACCTTTGAGGGTGAGAAAAAGAAGTTGGTAGCATAAGCTGTTCTGTATATATATTTTGGGTAAAAAATAGAATGTGATAGTTGTGTTAATTCAGATTTTATTCTGCACCTAGAATCGTAGAGTTGGAAGATACCACAAGTGTCATTCAGTTCAACTTGCCATCAAGCAGGAATAAACAAACAAAGCTGGCCAATGGCCATCTAGTTTCTATGGGAAATCCCCAGAGAATATATAATTCTTTCTATATTCATCTGTGAGATTGTTAGACAGGATTCTCTGAAACACTGTACCTGTTAGACAGTTGCCTCTCAGTCTTCTCTATGTAGTCTGATGGGTCCATAATGACTCCAGTTTTTTTTCCCTTTTTCAGCCTTTTTTATTACACTATTAGGATTTTTCTGAGTGCATAAAGTATCATATTCCTTTTGCTGAGATTGTGTAGTAAGTTATGTCCCTTATTGATTATTTCTGTCTCTACATGGGAGTGGAAGCATCCTATATAGTAGACAAGTTATGTGCACTGTTCATCTGGAGAAGTTCATACAGAGCTTTTAAAATTATTATTACTTTGAGAGGTATTGTGTTATATATTGAAATAATATATTTATGAAGACAGAGATAGTCCTTGTGACTGAGGATGCAATATTTGTTATTGCTCTCCTTCACTACTTCCATCTGCAAGACATTCAGTATATAAGATGTCTTTATTTTTGTTTTTGTTTCATAGATCAAAGATTTCCAGGAAGAAAAAAGACTACTTCAGAAGCAAGTAAAACAACAGGTTTGTTTGTCTTAATTTATATTTACCTTTCGTAACAGGCAAAAATCAAAGGGTGCTTAAAGATGGCAGACTTCCAATATTTATACTCAAAGGGCATTGTGTATCTGCTTTGCTTTTAAAACAAATAACTAGCTATTTATGTATTTGCAGTTTTTATGCTTCTCCACACTGATGATAATACTATGAGTTATATTAACTGTATATGTACTGTGTGTGTTTCCGAGTGTACACATGCACACATTTTGGGCAGCTGCAACTTCAGTTAACAACCAACTCCAGTTCTATTCTGTTTCCTTTATATGGCATAGTCCTGGGAATCCCTTAGATAGTATTAAAGTTATGTCAGCTTTATAAGATTTACACAGCTGCAGGACACCAAGTTTTGAATATGGTAGTGGGCTGCATGTCCATCATCTAAAGATTAATCAGATTTAGAGAGGGTTATCTCCAAAAGTCTCATTGTCAGGTGAATAATTATCAGATGAATAAAGTTAACAACAACAACAACAGCCTTAACAGTTTAAAAAACAAAGATGCTGGAAAAGCTACAATCTGCATCAGCAGAAGGACTGTAAAGTAAAATTACAGTTTTTCAAGATAATCAAGGTATATAAATAATGTGCTAAGATGTTTACTATGATGTCATTTTGCTGTACTGGGAAAGCCCTGCTCTCGGTCCCACTCCCATCTCAAGCACGGATGGTGGGAATGAGAGATGGGTCCTTCTCTGTGATCGCTCTCCCTCCCAAAAGTACTGAAAACTGCCCGCTCTCTCTCCTTGCCTTCAAAAACCTGCTAAAAACCCATCTATGCACTCTGGCATATGGAGAGGAGGAAGACTTACAGGTCTCTACTTACATCCTCACCTAGATATGTTAAATCTTGTCTAGATACTGGAATTGACTTCAGCCTGTTCTTGCTTCAAACCACCTAATCTTGCTGTAAGGTTTTAGCTAATAGTCTGGACATGTTTTTTATGTAGTTATAAATTTTATGTTTGTTTATGTTTGTATGGGTCATTAAAGTTTTCATCTTCGGTTATTTTTGTCTGTTATAAAGTTTAAAGTTATATTGCTTGATGTGGTCTCTTTTGATGTAATTTGTTTGTATATTTTTCCATTTTGGCATTGAATATTTGCCATATTTGTTGGAAACTGGCCTGGGTCCCTTTGGGGAGATAGGGCGGCCTACAAATAAAGTTGCTATTATTATTATTATTATTATTATTATTATTATTATTATTATTAAGAATTTATTGGAATCTTTCATTTGGTTTTCATTTTATTTTTATAGGTCCAAGATCTCCAACTTCTAAGACAAAAGGAAAGCTTCCCACATCACTTGGCTTCCAACGTCACATGTCATCTTTGTCTGAGTTATAGAAACTGTGGATTACTTCACCATTATCCTGAACCTCAGATAACATTAGCCTCACGTGGCATTAGCCAAAAGGAGCAAGAGCCCCCTGTAAGTTAGGTTTCCTGTTAGTTTTCATTCCACACAGCACGGACACTCCAAAATTCAGCATTTTGCAATCATTAATATTAAGTTTTTTATATATATTGAGAGTCAAAATAAAATAATAATGTAGATGCCACTGAGGTGTAGTGTGTAGTGCTTGAGAAGTCCAGATTCTAGGCTTCATGGAACCATAAACCCACTTAGGTGAATAACTTGTCCTACGTCACAGGTTTGTGGGGAAAAAGTGATGGGGTAGGGAGGGAAGTGAACTATGTACACTGTTTTTACTTCTTTGGGAATAAACAGGATTTAAATTTAATTAAAAATATTGTGAAACAACTTGACTGGCTTTATTTTTTGTTTCACATTACTCTGCAAATATTCCTCTTGATAGAAAGATTCACCATCTTGCAACTTATTTCTGCTCTGACATTGCTGCTAAAAATTTTCCTTATTTGTTGTTGTGGACTGCTCTTCTGATTTTGAGGGAGAATGAGAACGGATGGATGAAGAAGCAGCAATTGGGAATTTGGGGCTAAATTGTGAGAAGGAGGAGGAGGAGGAGGAGGAGGAGGAGGAGGAGAAGGAGGAGGAGGAGGAGGAGGAGGAGGAAGAAGAAAGGAGAAGAAGAGAGGGAGGAGGAGGAGGAGGAGGAAAGGAGAAGAGAAGAAGAAGAAGAAGAAGAAGAAGAAGAAGAAGAAGAAGAAGAAGAAGTAGAGATGGCAGATATATCACAAACCATCATGTTTCAGGAACAACAAAGGGAGAAAAGTCAGAAGGAGATCAGCTAAGCAAGGAAAATGCAAAGTTGGGCCCCAGTGCTGACGGCAACTGATCTACTTAGAGGGAGTTCCTGTCCCAAGCACTGTGTCTCCGTTCCAGCGTAGGTCCTTGCTGAAGGTTCTTGACTATTGACATTTGTTTCTGCAACCTGTAAACTTGTTATCAAAGACTCCAGTTTCTGTCTGATATGAAGACTTTTGTTTTACATTTGCTTGAAGACCACACATTACCATTGGGACTATCCTTTCTGTTTTACTTTTTCTTTATGTTGTCTGAAGTAAAGCCTTTTTATTTACTTTCACTTGTATCTAAGGCTGTTTCTGGTGTAAAACCGAACATGTATTGACAAAAGAGAAGTACAGATAGGTGGAGACAGGAAAGGTGATAGATTTTGATTAGGTGGTTATGTAAGTGGTATGGTGAAGTAGCTGGGGAAAGAATTCAGGGGAATTGTTGCCCTGATAGTAAAATAGGTTATTGTAATTGAATAACTATGGATTATTTGACCATTCTGTGATTCAAGAATTCTTTGCTATGACTTGCTTGGCCTAAGAATTCTTCAGTTAGGAGCTTTAAATGAGTAACTGGTCAGGCCAACATAAAACATATTCACTTGTCTAGTCTTTAAGTCAGCTTAAACCTACACATTACTAATCTCAGAGAGCAATGTGAAGCTTTGAATACAAGGTGGGTTCCAGGAGGCCAGTTTGTGTGAACAACTTGGACTGAAGATCTGTCACAGACTCCCATTCCTCTCCTTGCCAGCAGGCAGTCATGAACCAAACTGAAGTAGTTTTATTGGCTGCTTTATAAAACAGATTTTCTTAGTGTCATAAAAATGCTATAATCAGTCAGAGCAATAGAAAGAATGCCTAATATATAAAATAAAAAAATTCAAGTCCCAGAGGAAAAACACAATTACTACCATAACAACTGATACACAAATCACAAGCCCTGAAACCACAGAAGCAAATAACAGGAGCTAAAAGTATTATCGGGTTTAATGGGGCTTGAGTTGAATGCAGCTGACTATTAAGAGCTTGGGATATTTGTTTCTGTATAAATCCTGTTGCTTTCAAAAATGGATTCCATTACTACTTGCAATTTGGTATGAGATTTCTTGTTTTTCAAACACATGTACATTTTTTTAAAAAGACAAGAGGCTATGGCTAGGATAACCCAGTTGAGAATAGTCTACCTTGCCTGTTCCACACTTCTAGTTTCCATTGCCCTATAGGAATGGTTCCCAACAATTGGCCCTCCAAGGGTTTTGGGCTTCAGCTCCCACAATTCCTAACAGCTGGTAAGCTGGCTGGGATTTCTGGGAGTTGAAGTCTAAAACAACTGAGGACAGGCCCGTAGCCAGGATTTTTTTTGGGGGAGGGGGCTGAGTTTGGTTCGGGGGGGGGGCTGAGTCTGAGTGAAAGAGGGTCTACCCTAGCAAACCTTTTGTATCATTACCCCAATACCCCCATGCATAAGGGATATATTGAGCATGGTGATCAGATCATGATATGAATAAGCATAACAGTTTAAATGTACCAGTAAGGCCTTCTCGCAGACCACCATCAGAATTTGGGGGGGGGGGGGCTGAAGCCCCCCAAGCCTCCCCCCCCCCCCGGCTACATGCCTGACTGAGGACCAAGGTCTGTGGAGGGTCCAGTTTGTGCGTTTCCAGAGAAGATTGGATAATTGAGGTCTTGACTTCTTTCTCTAACTCAGATCCTTCCAGCTGGTAAGCATCTGAGTTCCCAACTGCTGAAGGGGGCCCTTCTAGGTTAGGCACGGCATGTATTTACTAACAACAATTTTCAAATGCCTGAAGAGAACTAGCAATGTGATTAGAATAGGCAATCTCATTTCATTATCTTCTATAATCTACATGAAAACTCATTTCTTTCATAACATTTCATGTTCCTATATCACTATTCTACATAATTGGCTGCTACTGGTAGAGACATCTCTCTCTCACACACACTAAACTATTTGAATATGCTGTGAGGATCACAGGGCTGCTGTCACATGCTACCAAGGAAAATGAATGGTATATGTGTGTGTGTATAATCATCATGGAATCATAGAGTTGGAAAAGACTTTGTGAACCATCCAGTCCAACCCCCTGCCAAGAAGCAGGACAATCGCATTCAAAGCACCATCAACAGATGGCCACCCAGTCTCTGTTTAAAAGCCTCCATAGAAGGAACCTCCACCACACTTCGGGGTAGAGAGTTCCACTGCTGAACAGCTAATATATATATCTCCTTAAAACTAAGGTAAATATGCACTTCACTTTAACATTGTCCTTTTCTGTGTATTCTGTGTTTTCTGCACTAAAGTTTTAAACAGAGACTTGCTTCACTGTAGGCCAGTGGTTCCAAACCTTTGGGCCTCTGAGTGTTTTGGACTTCAGTTCCCAGAAATCCCAGACAGCTTACCAGATGCCAGGAACTGTGGAAGTTGAAGTCCAAAACATCTGGAGGCCCAAAGGTTGGGAACTACTGCTGTAGGATCTGTACTTGAGCCTTTAACATCTGGACTTCTAACTATAGAGTACCTCCTAGGGCAGTGGTTCTCAACCTGTGGGTCCCCAGGTGTTTTGGCCTACAACTCCCAGAAACCCCAGCCAGTTTACCAGCTGTTAGGATTTCTGGGAGTTGAAGGCCAAAACATCTGGGCACCCACAGGTTGAGAGCCACTGTTCTAGGGTTTTATACATTTTGGCTTCCTAAGAGTATTTTTGCTGTTTGGTTGTTTTGAATTGTATTCCCAAGTCTTTGCAATTGTTTTCTTGTGTAAACATAGCTTTTATAATGATTTCCCAATTAGTTATTATGCATAAATAGAGTAAATGTGTAGTCTTACCGAATGCGATATATTACTATTGTTTCATTATATTATGACTTTCTATATTCTTTTTTTAAAAAAGATCTTGCATTTAATGTTTACTTCAAGATTATACAATAAAACCATTGTTTAGTCTAATTGTGAAACATGTCTCTATATTCTTTGGAATACTTTCAAGATTATAGTTATGTATCCATGTTATTTGCAGAGTAATGTTTTCATATATGGATCTCTGAACATTTAATAGTTCATACTAGAATATGGTATTACATTTTCAGGGACTAATTTGTATGTTTAATCACACACACACCTTCTGATATATCTGAATGGACTGGACACTTGAAATGATTATATAAAACCTGAAATATACTTATGAATTGTACATTCTAGGCCAATTAGTTCTTTCAGTTCAACATTGTCTATATTTAACTTAGTCATGCTGGCTGAGATTATTAGAGTTGTAGTCCAACACATCTGGAAGATATGAGGTCAGAACATATTTGCATATATAAAAGTCATTTTGTCTGTCTTTTTTTTTTCTCAGCCAAAGTACTTGACACCGTTCTAAAACAAACACACCGTAAAATGAACCTGGAGCCTTAGGCAAATAACCAGGAGCACAGTCCAGCCAAATTAAGCAGTTTGGATTTATTTCAGTGGTAGATACTTAAGATCCCCATGAAAGGCATTTTGGATGGTTGTACAAGTATGTTTTGTCCAATAACAAACTACTGAAATTCAGTTGATGTCAGTTTATTTATTGCATTTATATACCACTTTTCTCATCCTTGAGGGGACTCAAAGCAGTTCACAACATCATCAATGGCAAAATTCAATGCCTCACATATATAAACATCATATATCAACTCAACAACAAAAACAATAGATTAAAATTATTAAAACTATAAACTATAGCAGCAGTCACAGACACAACATAAAACATTTAGACCTTGCATCAATCCCGGTGTCTTAACTTCTTCCAAATTTCCATAATTCTATCATTTGTTGAATGCTTGCTTGAATAACCAAGTCTTAAGTTGTTTCCTAAATGTTAGGGGGGATGGGGCTGATATAATCTCACTGGGGAGGAAGTTCCACAGCCGAGGAGCCACCACCGAGAAGGCCCTGTCTCTTGTCCCCACCAATCGCACCTGCAATGGAGGCAGGACTGAGAACAGGACCTTTTCGGGAGATCTTGGTGTTCTAGCTGGCTCATAAAGGGTCATGTGTTCAGATAGGTAAGGTGGACCAGAACTCTTTAGAGCTTTATAGGCCAAAGCCAGAACTTTGAATTCTGCTCGATAGCAGACTGGCAGCCAGTGGAGCTGATGCAGTGGTCTATTTGAGATATAATGAGAGTGTGGACTACCATGGCCAAGTCTTACTTCCCAAGGTATGGGTGCAGCTGGCACACAAGTTTTAATTGTGTGAATGCTCCCCTGGCCACCGCTGAAACCTGAGGTTCCAGGCTCAGTGATGACTCCAGGAGAACTCCCAAGCTGTAAACCTGTGTCTTCAGGGGAAGTATAATCCTGTCCAGCACAGGCTGTAACCCTATAGCATGTATGAAGTGGCAAATCATAGTTTACTGCAAGTGTTGGCAGCTCACAACACTTCTGAAGCCCACATAATGTTAAATTGACAACGGGACACATTCCAGCTTGTCAATATCCCTCTTGAATTGTGGTGCTCAGAACTTGACACAATATTCCAGGTGTGGTCTTACAAAAGTAGT